ATAATGGAGTTTGCAGTAGTCTACAGGGGGCTTCAGAATCGTTATTCTTCCCTCTCAGGAAAGGTCTGTCTTCATATTTAATTTACGAGCTTTTTGATATTCAAACCATGGACAGTCAAAAAGTGGTTTGGATTGGGTGTCTCAGTCTTTGTGGAGTTTTCACATCAGGCAATAATAATATTATATTAATACTCAGAATTATAAAATATTAAAGAGGAGAAGCCCTCAAGCTTCCTCGCATCAGGTCTTCCATGCGCAATCCTTCGTTGCAAGCTCAGGTCTGTTCATGCTTTTTTTGTTTGGGTTTAAAGGATGGTTCTCTTCAGGGCACAGGGTAAGTACAGTAAGTTCTTGCACTTGTGCAGTGGTATAATGGTACTGGACTCGAGAATGCACATTCCCTGTTTGTTCTCCTGGTACTTATACTTTTCTTTAGCGGTTGCCTTTGGAACCATCTTGTCTTGAGATGCTACTTACAGGTTTCTTCGCTTGTTACTTACATCTTCTGAGATTGGGGACTTCATTTGGGACGTTGTGTTCATCTGGTTTCCCATGCAACACTAAGCAACAGCTGTTGGCACTCGCAGGACATACACAGGACAACACATACACACACCCACACACACACAGAGTCTGTGTTTCAGCTGTCGGGTTTACACAGGGTGTGGGGTTCCTTTGGGACAAGGGTGGTTAGCAGCTGACTGAATGCAGTTTAGAATCATAGTTATACATGTCAGTTTGAAGACTTAGACACAAGGCCTGGGTCGTCAGTACACATTGCAACGGTCGTTCGGAGTTCGATGGTTCTACTCAGCAGCTTGCCTCTTGTAAAGAATGCTGGGTTTTGTAACCAGACTTTTCAAGGTCGGTTCCTAGGACTGTCCAAGCTCCTTTTCTGTGCACTTTGCATTCGAAGTTACTATGATTTAAGCTAGGAAGCTCAAAAGCGGCACCGCAGGACCACCCCGAAGGACTAGGGACAAATCATGCGTCCATGGTTCCCATGTAGTACTAACGTCGGCCTCACAAAGGTGACTCCGCTGGACTTCGAGTGGGCACACGTAGATCACCGTGGGCAGCCTAGCACTTGCCAGTGTGGAGCAGCAGCACAAGTCAGGCAGACTTTCATCTGAAGCATCATGGTCTGTCGTGGTTGGTGATGCTTTAGGTTTTTTAAAGAAGCCTAGACACAGAATCATTGTTATCATGCCGCTGCCAGAAAGCCCAAGCCACCTGCCACTGTCATCATCATTCCTCTCCCTTTCCTCGTTCTTTCTCGTCGGACATGTCGTCCTCCGGTTCCGCTGACCGAGCAGGACTTCCCCATGGACTCCCGTTTTTTCTTCGCCGTTCCACCGACCCGCAGGACGAGGTCATATTCGATTTTCGTGCGATGGACTATTACCGCGCGTCGGTCTGTGGGATGGAAGACCCAAGTACCATCCTGCAGCGTAATCTCGATTATTGCGAGCAGCTGCCGTCGAACTGTTTGGACTGCCTTCCGCCGGGCATTGACTCGCAGGAGGATTTGCAGTGCTTCCTCGCCGATCTGAGCCTTGCGCAGGCATATTATTTCTGCACTGGACAACCCGACAGGATGCCCGAATGGCGCACCGAATGGCTCTCGACTGTCTTTGTACCCGAACACTCGCCGTACGACACGCAGCAGAAATGGGCGGACAGGCTCGTTACACCCATGTTGGTTGTAGCGTGGTTTCTATGAAGGTGCATGCTTTTAAAGCCATATAATATTATAATACATTGATTATTCTCCACAGAGCACATCCCGTAGGCTTTGGTCTTGGCTTGCTGCAACCGATGGACTGCTGTACAAGCGGCCCCCTGCCTTCGCGACACGGACTCCTCGGACGGTGAGTGAGAGAGACTTCTAGATTTTAATAGTTTGTGTTTCTGATAGTTGAATTGTTCCCTAGCAGGAAGGACGACGGCTGGCAGATACTCGTCGAACACATGCAGGGCGATAAAATGTTGGAGTGTGGCACTCAGCTATGACATCAGCGCACTCAGTCATTCAAGCATTCCAGTACTTGCACTTGTGTGTGTGAGTGGTTAAACACGCAGCACCCACTGCCGGTCCAGGCTCTGCTTCAAGCAGATACTCGGGGCGGCCCAGCGCAGGACAGACAACGCCCTCTCCGCCGGACTCCATTCCCCGCTGTTCGGTTCCCGACACCCGCAATCGTGGATGGTCGAGATGCTGAACCGCGACTGGGAGGCCTACCCGGTGGCCGTCCCCGTTCCCTGGCAGGGCCACATGTACTACGCAGTGTCGTCGCACAACGCGTCGGACTTGTACTTCTGCATCACGAAGGGCCCCGACGGACGTGCAACAGCAGAACCAGTAAGATTTTTGTTGGTAAACCTTGTAGTATAACTGAAATACTTACCAAGTCGACAAATTTTCGGACATCGCTGGTTCAGGTGACACGATCGACTTTCAGTGCATCGGACTGTTTCTCAAGAAACTCGAACTTGGACCGGGCTCGTGGAACTAGCCGCAGTTCGTTCAAGCACGACGTACCCGCCGGCCAGTCTCCATTTGGAGTTCTGGAGCAGTTCGCTCTCGCCGGCCAGTCTCGAAAGTGACACGTTTTCTGCACTCGGAGTTCAGATCAGTTCGCTCTCGCCGTTCAAAAGAGTTGTCCTGGCACACTTTACATTTGCCGCATGTTAGTTCCTATCGCACTGTTTGCTGACTTAAACTTTTGCGCTTCAGGTTGCTGACATGGACTGGCACCTCTTTGGCGGGTTCCTCGGAGTTCTGGTGCTGCACAGTTTGTGACGATTTGCATCGGCACAGTTGCTGTGTTCTTTCCTGTCACACTCGGAAGCGACAAGTGCTTGAACCACCCGCAGTCACCAGTCCCTCGTACTAGGTTTGTCATGTGCTTCATGCATTGCAATTGAGGTCGGTCACTCCTCGTTCGGTTCGCAGGGCACGGCCACACGGCAGGACGAGGACTAAGTCAGGGGTCATGCTTTCGGATTGTGACAAGGCATTGCGCGGACTCTGAGGTAAGTTAGGATCCACCTGCAGCAGACATGGAGCAATTGCCGTAGACATAAAGAGTTAAAGGCCTTTGAGCAATTGGAGTCCGGTTTGTTGCCTGGGTTGCCATTTCAGCATTTCAAGCATCGAGTGCATAGAATCGAGGGTGAGCGGTAAATTTTAGTGTTGGGCGTTACACATTAGATTTGTTGTTTGTGGCTGTGAATCATTAAGGTTAGTTCTGGCCTATTCATTGCGGGTGGTGTCTCCTTAACTAGATCTACTTACAGTGCATGGTATAAACCGATTTCACTTCTGGAAGTTCACCATACTTGTCCACAGAGGGGCTTCGGGTGTGGCTTGATTCAGGAAAATAATCATGAGGTGTACAACTCAGTACTACGACTACTACCACGACTAGTACAAGTACTACTAGCATTGCTACTGTACTACTACTACTACTACTACTACTACTACTACTACTACTACTACTACTACTACTACTACTACTAATTACTAATTACTACTACTACTACTACTACTACTACTACTACTACTACTACTACTACTACTACTACTACTACTACTACTACTACTAGTACTACTACTACTACTACTACTACTACTACTACTACTACTACTACTACTACTACTACTACTACTACTACTACTACTACTACTACTACTAGTACTAGTAGTACTACTACTAGTACTACTACTACTACTAGCTAGCCAGCTAGCTAGCTAGCTAGCTAGTACTACTATTACTTCTGCTAGCACTACTACGACTACTACTGCTACTTCTAGTACTACTACTACTACTACTAGCTAACCAGTACTACTGCTACTACTACTACTACTATTTCGACTAGTACTACTACTACTACTACTACGACTAGTACTAGTACTAGTACTACTACTACGACTACTACTACTACTACTACTACTACTACTACTAGTACACTACTACTACTACTAGTACTACTAGTACTACTACTACTACTAATACTTCTACTTCAACTAATAGGGACTGCAATTTCGGCCTACTGGTTTTTCCTTTCTTTAATGAGTAGTGGTACTGCTGCTAGTACTACTCTTCGCAATCTGGATTAGTATTGCTACGAGTAATTACTAGACCAGTAGTCAACCAGCTGGAGGAAGGCGCTCTTGCAATCGCTGTTGTCCTGTTCATATGGAGGACACGGACTCCATTGGCCGGCATCGCTGCCGCTGAGCCTTCTCGTTTCAGGCACTGTGCTCTCGTGCGGTCTACGCTTTGTGTCTTGCTTGCCATGTTCGTCCAGTCACAATGCACTGTGAGACCACCCAGCAGCAGGGCTTGATTGATTGTTTGGTTTTCCGAAGCCGTCCTGCCTGTGCGTTGAGACTTCGTGCAGTCTTATCATCCTTCCCCCGTCGTTCTTCCTCGACGGACCTTGCCCAGCATGCCTCGTGATGCCGGCCCCCGCAAGCCCACCCTCAAGCAGCTGGCGAAGCAGAAAGCGAAGGACATCAAGACCCGGGAGCGCAACGAGGCGACGTTCGCATCCGCCGTTCAGCACTCCAAAAGCACCATACTCGACGTGGACATGCGGTTCATTCAAGACACGCTGACCCAGAACCCGACTTGGATTTCTCCACTCGCTGGTCTGATCCGCTCGGGCTCGTTGAATGGTCTTCTGAAGGACGTTGCCAAGAAGGAGGAGACCGGTGGACTGAGATGGAAGGGCAAGTGCACCAAATGGGGCAGTTTGCCGCTTGAGATGGCGAGCTTAATGCTCAAGCATTGCGGTGTGGAGCTCGCGGAGGACGTACAGAAGGACGAACCCGTCGTACGGACCCTCTTCGAGATCCAGTTCTGGGCAGCCAAGTCGGCGTCCTTGCCATCTCGTGCGGACATTCGCTATCAGTCCACGTTGGTCAAGTTAGCGAGGGCCCGCATGGAGGACGTTGGTCGCAACTACATAGCTGCGGTGAACTCGGCGGAGGCTATCAGTGTTGACCGGGACAGGTACAACATCTGGTCACTTAGAACAACACGTTGTACTGCCACGTCTTTGCCACACAAGATGGACACCCTCGCCGTTCCCGCTCGGAGTTCGTACCCAACGAGTCGTACCTCAGCCACGAGCTTCCTACTCTCCCGGACAACAAGACGTGGCAATTGGACGACCCTTTTGCGGTGGACTGTGTCATTTCAGATGGACAGCATAACTCGTTGTTCAGTTTTGAATGCGCGAGTTTCTTTCCTACTTTGCCGGACATGAAGGCCAAGTGGACCTTCGACTTGTCGTCGGACGCAGACACCACGGCTGGCCTCGGCGACAATGTGCCGCAGGGCACCCCGTCGGTCCGGAGTGCATAATGCACTCTCTCCTGGTAGTTCAGTGTGTCTTGAGTTTGGGGTTGACTTTACTCCTTGTTCTGTCCAGTTTGTTCACTCGAAAAGCACAATGTCGTTCGCCTCGCCGTTCGACCCATTGTGTCTGAGTGAGTGGACAGGCACGAGTTTCACTGGGGCCGTGAAGCCGACAACTTGCAAGCTGCATAAAAGAATACGTGCGATGAATGGCTGACTGCAATAATGACTTCCTTGCGGTGCCTTGCAGTATGTGCTACATACATGTTGCAGAAGAACACAGACGCATGACACGTGGTGTGAGCACTGCCTTGCGACATCAGCGATTCGTTGCCGCTGTCTTTGGGCTTCCAGAATAAAAGCTGCATGCCTGCAGAGCCTCCCTTTCTCTTGGTTTGGCAGATGTCACATATAATTCCTGGGACATAGCCTATAAAGTTTTGCTACATTCGTTCACCAGAAACAGACTGTAGAATTGATCCACTCGCTATCAGATGCTGGAGCCCGCTTCTGCCGATGGACCCTCTTCTTCAGGACCTCCAGCTTTTTTCAGCTCTGCGTCGGACAAGCGTCGGACAGTTGCATTTTGCATTCCCGGCGGGACACACGGAAGCCTCAAGGGCGAGAGCTACAAGTTCAAAGAGCCGCAGACCAAGGTAACGGATGGACATCGTTTTTGGCACATGCGTTGGTTTGTGGACTTCCTCGGAGGACACGAGTCTCGAAATTTCCTCGCAGGCAGTGTGTCGACGTTCAGGAACAAGCTCTTCACGATTGCATGGCCCTGCTGGACAGACACGGAGGACGCTCTGAAAAAAGAGATCGAGTCGCACTTTCTCCAGAGTTCGTTCTCCCTCCTCAAGCAGCAGGAGCACGCTGCAAACGCCGAGAAGAAGGGCACCAAACGAAAGGCATCCTCGCAGCAGATGCAGGACGACATGGAGGACGACAACGAGCAAGCGGACAATGAGGAGCACACGGGTGACCAGATGGAAGAGGTAGCAGCTGGACGAAGCACACGTTGTACAGAGTTTGCCACGTCGAGCTTTGCAACGATTGTTCTTTTGCATCAATGGCACCAGGGTATGCGCAAAGATGCCAAATGGAAGAAGCCGGCAGAGGAGGTATCCAAGCTGGCCGGGGAGTTGCTTCAAGGCCTCGCTTCCTTGTTCCTGCAGACCCCGCAGGACTTCTCATTCACGTGGGACGGAAACACTCTGGTGCTGCCGTTCAAAGGAGGTTCGCTGGACGTGGACGAGGTTGTACTGCAAAACAGTTTACTTGCTAAAGTACTACACCGCGATCGTTCCCGATTCATGGACGTGCTGCAGGATGTGAATGTGGACTGCACCCGTCGGACAATTGGAGACACTCGCAAGTCATCTAGTTTGAGGACGAAGTACTACTTGTTGGCGGCTTTGGCACGTGCCATGGATTCGTCGGACGACACGCATTCCTGCTGGACATCTTTGAATGTGAAGCAAGTGATGCAGCTTAGGAGAGAGGTTTCGATTCGAGGGTTTGGAGGGTTTGAAGGGTTTGGAGGGTTCCGGGGTTTTAAGATGTAGGGTTGTGTCTTGAAAGCCCGAAAATTGATATTCCCCCTGTTGTTTCAGGAGCACCTCCGGATATCGTCGGTCGTCCACGAGTTTTCGACAAGAGGTTGCGAGTTCATCGAATGCCACACGCAGGACACTTACCTCCACATTGCAAGGACATGCGTTCACCGTGCAGGACAGCAGCGAACAGCAGGACGAACAAAAGATCAAGAAGCACGCTTCTATGGACGCACACAGGCTAGCACGCATGGAGCGATACGCCTATGTCACGCAGGGCAAGTCAGATTTCCTCTCGACGGACATTTTGTGCGTGGTGGCAGATGCAGTGCACGTGGGAAGTGACGATTGGCTGAACATCATGGTGTACAACCACACGACGGACAAAGTTTGGGTCTGCCCGCCGCAGGCGCTTTTTTTTTTTGTTAAGCAACACATATTTCTGAGGCGTTTTAGGCAAGAGGCGAGGTACGTCAGAGCCTTGCTTAAGTTGACCTTTTTGGGTGCCGTTTTCGTAGCTTCTGGGTCCGACCAAAATCGTTTTTCCGAGGGGAGGTACACGTATCCCCGCTCAGGCTCGGTTTGGGGCGGAGTCTTTCTATTTTATTTTATATAAAGATAGGTACACGTATCCCCGCTGACCCCTGGGTTTCGGGATTGGCCTGATAAAGGCTCCCGGCCGCCCTTCTACTGATGAGTAGGTACGCACAGCCTTGCTTAAGTTGACCGGGTCCCGGGTGGAGGCCGAGGAACGCATTTCGGCCACATTTTGGCTGCATTTCGGCCCCCAAAAAGGTACGCCAGATCCCCGCTTAAGTTGACCGGCCGGTCCCCCAAAAAAGGGCCCCTGGGTGATTATATGGTAACAACCTCTGTCGTTTGTTTTGCATGCTGTTGCTGACAAGCTCTTCCTCTAAGCTTTGCTTCACATTTTTCTCTGTGTAGTCAGACCACGCAGCAGGTCCAGAAATCGTCCGTCTTGTCGGCTGAGCAGTGGAAAGCTATGTGGAACAAGGCTTCCAAGAAGTTCCTCGGGATCGAGAAACCCGTTGGACCTGGTCATGCGGAGGACCGGCTGGCCACACTGTCTTGGATGCAGGACATAAACCACGGCTTGCGACCCATTGGCTGGACTTTTGGCTGCTGCCAGAGCACGCCGGCCGGCCCCGCGGAGGACGACACGAAGGCTAAACGTGCACCGATCATGATTTTGTGCACCGACCAAGAAGCAACACAGCTGGCGGCTGTCTCCTGCTTGAGGAACAAAAAGAGCCTCTGGATCGAACACGTCTCGGACCCCGCCCACAGGTCGCACAACGACGTGGCTTTGGCCTTGTCGGCCGCTGGACTCCTGAAGTTCTGCACATGGTGCATCTCGCTGTACAACATCAGGTATGGACCCTGGCAGAAGGGCTCGTGGGCGTTGAAGATCCAGCAAGCCGCAAATCGCATGAAGGACAACATGGACCCCTCGGACCCGATATTGCTCCTTTTCTTCCCGGACATTCTGCTGGACGCCGGCCTCTCCCCCCTGGACGACAACACGGAGGAGAAACGCAGGTCGTTTTTGCAGACATTACCCGACATGGACTGCATCCGCATCAAGGGCACGAAGGCCAGCAAGAGTCGGTTCAATTCCCTGACGACGGCCCACAGCGCGCTGGACAAAGAGTGGTCGGTCTTGGCTTTAGTTCTCACAGTGGTCTGCTTGGAGCACAACTGGGCAGTTTCCACTAAGGACCTCTTCTCGCAGGACAGCAACCAGGCCCGTGCCTCGGTTCCATATGGTGGAAGCAAGTCTTCTGCCATACAGGAGGCCAAGCAAGGCATGGACCAGGAGCGGAAGGGCAGCGCGAACAGTCTACACTTAATGACGAAGTTCGTGATCTCGCAGGACAACAAGACGACAGCCAGGATGATGTTCCAGGTCTTGCAACCCGAAGAGCTTCGTTGTTCGCTCATGCTCAAGCAGCTGCGTTCCAAAGGCATGACGAAGGACTACTACTCTGGCTGGGCACACTGGTCTTGGATGAGCACTGCAAAGGACCACGTCAGGACTTTGTCGAATTTGGAAGGGTTATCTCGTGTCGGCCTCGACCTGACACTGGCACGCGCACAACCCCCGGAGGAGACAGAGCTTGTCTGGCAGGACTCGCTCGCAGGCCAAATGACGCAGTTGACACTACAGATCCTGCGGCTGCGGGCCGGGGCACAGCTGTACCATACTGGAGGTTTCGGTGCGACCGCAGGACTAGTCCATGCTGAAGAGCAGTTCCGTCGGGCAAGCTTGGATTTTTTCAAAGAGATGCAGTCTTGTATCCAGGACACGCAGAGTGGTGGTTCTCGTATGGCAAAAAAATTGCTCGAAGGTCATTTCTCCCAAGGGCCGATTAGTCGGTACATCCTCGCCGATCTTTGCACTACCCGGTTTCAGAGCCTTACGGAGGACGTTGCACACGTATTGACCAGCATTTGGTCGGGCCTCTTGAACACGAAGATCATCGAAGACTGTAATAAAGTCGAGCGCGAGGCCGAGCAACGACATTCGTCTTCGAAGGACTTGGGTCGTTTGGACGGATGGAAGGCTGTGACCCAACAGGCCGTGGTCAAGATGTACGAGAGGGTGGAGGCAGTGTCAACGGAGCTCTACCACACGCCGGCAGCGTTTGACGTGGCCAAACTTTTCTGCAAAGACACCGAGAAGAAGAAGATTCAAGCAGTTCGTCGTCGTTCCGATTCGTCGGTCAGCACGCAGGGCAGTGCCTCGGAGGTGCAGGAAGCACAGCTTCTTGCAGACGTGACGAAGACGAGGGACTGGGTCTCCCACAACCACGCCGAGGAACAGGAGGTTTTGGCTGCCTTCAGTTTACTGATGAAGGCGTGGAGGGCCAAGCGATGGTCGCTTTGTGAAGAAGGTTGGTGCTCTGGACTTTTGCCCGAAGGACATGTTGTACTGGCAGGTGCAGACCCGTTGTTCATCGTTCGGACATACCGTTTGGCTGCACTCGCATGGCCCGGCAAGATCGTTAAGGACAAGGACCATGAGTTTTTCGAATTCAACATGGGCGTTCGGTCTCTCTTTTGGATGCACAGCACATCTTTGGACTTGGAAGTGTTGCGGCTGCGAGTTGTTTCACCTCTGCGTGCCTCGGCTGCAGTACAGTTGAACATTGTCAGCCCGACACGGACATTCTCTAAATATATATTCGTCCTATAATGAGTGACGATGATTGATTGACACGGAAGGCTTCTCCGGTTCAGATTGTAAGTTTCGGCCCGGGGGGGGGGTAGCACTGAAGCTATTTTTTATGGGTTTCTGAACAACTCAGGCGATTCGACAGTCAAGGATTCGAAGTTTCACAGAGTTAGGTTGAGTAGCCCAGGATGGCACGTGCGTCGAGGTTTTGGGTATTGACGAAAGGAGGGTGTGGTTGTGTGTACTGCTACCACTTTTTTGGCCATACTACTAGTGCTAGTACTAGTGCTAGCAGTAGTATTAGTAGTAGTAGTAGTAGTAGTACTAGTAGTACTAGTACTAGTAGTAGTAATACTACTACTACTAGGACTGTTGCTGAGATTCCTTCTACTACTGTAAACTACTGCGATTGCTTGTAGTAGTAGTACTACTACTACAAGTACTACTAGTAGTAGTAGTAGTACTACTACTACTACTACTAGTACCAGTACTACTACTCCTACTACTAGTATTACTACAACTTCTTCTACTACTACTACAACTACTACTGCTACTACTGCAACTACTAGTAGTAGTAGTACTACTACTAGTAGTAGTACTACTACTACTACTACTAGTACTACTAGTACTATCACTACTACTACTACTACTACTACTACTACTACTGCTACTACTACTACTACCACTACTACTACTACTACTACTACTACTTCTACTACTACTACTACTACTACTACTACTACTACTACTACTACTACTCCTACCCTTTTCGAGTCTTTTTACCAGTCTTCCTAGTGATATCACCGCTTTTTACTGACCAGGCGCAAAACTTAACGATTGCGATCATTTTTTACTAAGAGTGTTGCTGCCGCTACTGCTACTGCTGAGGTCGTTCCACGCAGGGCAGCCACCTCAACAACGGCATCGTGTTTTTGGTGGACAAGAAGATGGGCACGTTGGACTTTCACGCCGAGCAGGGCTTCGCTGCCTGTTCTGAGGCTTTGTTGCGCAGGTTGTGCCAGCACATGGGTTGGACCGCCACCCAACCCAAATCAGGTGTGGACGCAGGACATCAGCTGGCTGTTGCCGCCATGCTCAACATGGACAACTCGTTGGTCGAAGAGGACGTGGTTCAACGAATCCTGGCAAGGCATCAGACTGACAAGTGGATGCCGGAGGTCGACGACAAGGACTTGGAAGCCGTCGTTCGGGACACGCTGCTCATTGGCGAGCAGGACAAGGACCTCAAGGAGCTCAGTGCCCGTCGGTCCACGGTTTCGGCCAAAAGTCTACGACCCAAGGTATGCACGATGTACAAGAACGCCATCTCGGACCTGGACAAGGACTTTTGGAAGGCCGGACAGGACACACGCCGACGCAAGACTCAGAAGGCCGAGAAGGACAGCAAAAAGCTAAAGCAGCAGTACGACCGGGTGTACGCAAAGCTGAATGCCACGACGGACGAGCTTGTGAAGAGCATGGTTCCTGATACTGTACAGGTTTGGACGGACCCAAAGAATGGTCGTTGGAAGGTGTCCTACAAGACAGCTGTAGTCAGCATTACACGTAGTATTTCATGGACACAAGTAGGTGAAGCTGCCGCCGGTCGAGCCTGTGTAACACAAGGTTGGTCATGGGTGGAGCACCACGAAGGACGTGACCCACCCGAAAACTTGCAGGAGCGATTGACAAGGTTCGACTCCTGAGTTCACTCGGACTTGACATGCCCGTGATTGGACTTTTTCTCCTCGTAGCACATCGTCGTTCAGCATCGATGCACACATTCGTCGGGCCCAAAAGAGGATTATTCCGCTTTGCACGCGTGTTTGATCCGTGCAATTGATGCTTCTAGTCAGACTTCTGTAATGCACTGCTACGTGTGTGAGACAGTGGCGGTGATGTGGGTTCAAGTTCAGGAGCATGTCGTCCATGCAGCATTGAGCACGTATTTTAAGTAGGCCAGACATGTACTGATATGGCGAGCCAACGCGCCCTCACTCACCTTCTGTGTAACTTTCCCCACGGACACACAAGATAATGAGTAGTCATGTAGCGCAACTGGAAATTGTACCAGAAATGTTTGTACTTGAAACCTAGGTTGTTATTCTCGGTGGGAGTCCATGAGAATTCAGTTTTGTTGAAATAAATGGAACGGAAAGAGTCTCTGTACATGTCTCGACTCGTGGTTCCATCCTCGAAGTATTACTCGTGCCATGGTGGCCCGGCCGAAGTTACAGGAGGTGGGACTGTCACGACGACCCTCGGCATACGCGCTGTTCATGCAGGACATGTGCAAGGACTCTGTGGACCCCAAATCTCGTCGTCGACTGTCCCGGAAAACATCACTTCGCGGTTCAAAACATTATCTGCGCAAGTGGCTTCTTGGCTGCAAAATCAATATAGATACTGACACATGTGCCCCTTGCCTAGAACCCCAAGTCATCTGAAGCCACGGGAAGTAAAATCTTGGCAATTCTGGTCAGGAACCCGAATATGCCATCTTAGCTACGTACCAAAGTTATTTACTTCAGACATAATTAATAAGATGTAGCTAAAAGTCCTAATACAAGTCATGTTACTTTTTACTCGGGGATTACCTTTTCACCCAATCGTCCAGTAAAATTCCTCTGTTCCCCGAGGCACAACCGAAAGGACCTCCGTGACGAGTACACACGCAAGGCCAGGCAGGGCTACCAGGAGAATCGGGTCCAACGCGAAGAATTTCGACAGGCCAAACACACGGAAGTTCCCCCCGCTTCGGTCATGGACAGAGAACTGCCGGACGTCGCAGAGTCGCAGGACTTCGACGGTCGTGGCATTTTTCGCTACACGGCCGAGGACCCACTGGTGCAGGAGAAACATATGGGGCGCGGCACGTACGGGGAGATTTTCGCTTGCACGTACCAGGGCCTGAAGTTAGCCTTGAAAGTGGCCGTTCGCACGCCGGACAGGGAGACTGCACTGTTGGACGTGCACCAAGACGGTCTCGAAAAGACGTGGGACTTGACCCGTGAGTTCACTCTTTTGAGCCAGATAGGACCTCATCCGAATGTTCTGCGACTCTATGCCTTGCTGACATCCTCGACTGGGCACACGGGAATTCTAATGGAGCGGGCTTCCTGCGACCTCTTGAAGGCCACACGGGACTTGAAGACGGACGACCTTCAGGACGGAGTTCCCTGGAGCACACGACGAGCCCAAGTAACGACGTACTTTCGGCAGACACTCGCAGCTCTTACATTTGTGCACAGCAAAAACATCGTACATTTGGACGTGAAAACGAACAACTTCCTCGTGTTTCTCCTCGGCGAGCGGGTGGTGCTGTCCGACTTTGGTTTTTGCCGAGCTTTGCCACTCAATGGAAAAGCAAAAGTCAGAGCTGACGAAGTCTACACGACGTACTACCGGCCGATCGAGTGCCTTTACTCCGGGGACGGCAAGGCCTGGACCATGAATCCTAGTCGAAGAAAGTTGAAAGTAGTAAGCCCGGTGCGTATGTTCATTCTAGTAACACTTTATGATTTTGCGGATCTGAACTGCAGGACCAGATCAACCTCAGGCATTCCCGGATCCAACTGATGTCATTACTACTAGCAAACTCGCAATGGCCATTGTAATTGAAAACTTGACACAAAGATCTGATTCTTGATTCATAGAAGAGTCATGTCAGCACATGCAGTCGTAGAATCAGCTTCTTAGTCAAAGACATAGCCTGAAAAACTTCATATCTTGCTAGTAACAGCCATGTCTTTAAGAATTGACTTGTTTTTTGGCAGGAAGTATGACTATGTGTTTCATTTTGTTGTCGTTTCCCTTAACTGCTCAGCAGCTTCACTTTGATGAAAGAGGTGGAGATCGGCCCGAAGGCGGACATGTGGGCACTCGGTGTGGTGACGTGGGATTGCTACGCGAAGACGACACACTCGCTGTTCACTCCCGACCCGAAGGGCTTCGTCAAGCACACGCCGACCATCTCACAAGCGCTCGTTCGTTTCCAGACTGCATGGCGCGAGAGAGCACGCGACCTGCACTTGCTGGACGACGACATCGCTGCACACGTTTTCGGTTCATGCTTCACATTGGAGCAGGACAGGCGCAGCTCACTCGATTTGTTGAAGGATTTGCAGGGCCGTTTCACGAGGACAATTCAGTCGCTGGACGAAGAAGAGGAGCCGTAGCAAGTCCCCGGTGTACGTAATGCTATAACTTTCCAACGTGTCTTTCGCAAAGTATGATTTTATGTCAGACAAGAGATGACGAATGTTGTCGCCGGTGGACTCGCCAGTGCAAGTTTTGCATGACACACGTTGTTCGATGACCCGATGTTTCGAATCATTGAATCAGTTCATTGAATCTCGTAAGAGAATTAACTTAAGAAGATTGCAGAAAACCAGAATAATGTATTAGACTTTGTGGTTGGGTTCTTTTTGTTCGGTTCCCCGCTGTCACACGATTGACGACCGACTTGTGCATGTCAAGGACGGCCCTTCGGCAAGGATAAAAAGGGCCGCTCATTCTGCCATTTGGAATCTGTAGGTTCTACAGAACATGTACATGCAGAGGCGTGTCTGAAGTCCTAAGGATAATACACCGCTGTTCCCCCACACTCCTTGGCTAGATGCTTTCCATTTCCATGTTGCAGGCCCTGGGGCAGAGGCCACACCCTTCTCACTCTGGCAGCGACACACGGAGCACTTCAAGGACGGTTTCGGCCGCACAGTTCAGTGCAGTCTTGGATGGAATGTTCAGATGTCCTATGTTTTGAAATGCTGCTTACACTATGATGTTAGTTCGTTCTTGTTGAATGTGGTTTTAGTTTTCGGTTGGACTAGTCGCAGAGAGGCTCCCAATGGATTTCTTTTACTGTCGATTTGGAAAGCTTTGTTTTTCAATGTTTCTTGCTGCTGCTGGAAGAATGGGGTCAACCTTTCCGACCTGGTTTCATGATGGTCTCCAGAGAGCCAAGTCAGTCTTCTGGCTCCAGAACATCATCTGAACAGTGCAATGCAGGGGCAGCTATA